GTTGTGCACGCACTTAACCAGGAACAATCAGTAAAAGTGGTCAGTCACGGTCTCAACGTACGAAGAATCCATGGGCGTGATACAGATTCTAAATCTTGTTCATAGCGGTCTTCGGATTCACGCCTCTTCGTCTCACAGCCCAGGTTGGTTTGCCCAAGAACCCAGGAGGAGTTTACAGAAGTTTAGAAGGGGCAGCGATGCCCGGCAATCTTTTTTCAAAGGCGTGCCAACGAGGAGGATCCCACCGCGCACCCCCAAACAGTCAGGGTGTCCTGAATAGCAAAGGCAATTTGACTTTATAGAGGGGGCCCCCAGTAAAGCAGGCTCAACATTAGGGTCTGGGGCTTGGGGATTCGGGTGAGTCCTTGGCTGGTTGGCAAGCAGCATGATGTTACTTTAAACAAGCCCTAAACCCGAAATCCTAAACCCTGGAACCCTACCCGCGAAACTCCCTAGCAACCCCCAGTTTAAGTGTTGGGAGGGGGGGCCTTCAACCGTTAAAGGTTAGCTTTGGGGTTTAAGGGCTTAAACGGCTAGCTTGGGGTCTTTAAGGGCTTAAGGCCACCCGCCTTCTGTCAGGGCATCCCTCCGGGAAGAGTTGGAGCGGGGGAACCCTAAACCCTAAACCCTAAACCCTAAACCCTATGATTCCTCCAAATTATGGTCGGCTTTGAGGTCCTTATTCAAAGGCACGGACCCGCTCATTTAGGGTACCCGAAAAGGGACCCTCATCTAGAGAACTCATCAAGTGACGCTAGGTGGGCGCCAGTGGCCGCTGGGCAGAGCAACATGTAGAGCGTAGTGGAACCCTAAAAAAACCCTAAACTTAAGATCCCACACCCACAACCCAAAACCCCCTAAACCCTAAACCCCTAAAGCCTGAACCCCTGAAGCCCTCAACCCCTAAACCCTAAACCCCTAAACCCCTCAACCCCTCAACCCCTCAACCCCTCAACCCTAAACCCTAAACCCTAAACCCTAAACCCTAAACCCTAAACTCTAAACCCTAATGCTGGTCGAGCTTCTCAACTTCCAGGCGCATCACCAGCGATTCGGCGTTGGCGCTCCGGATCTGTCCAGAGGGTGTGGGGTTTGGGGTTTAGGGTTTAGGGTTTAGGGTTTGGAGTTTGGGATTTAGGGTTTAGGGTTTGGGGTTTGGGGTTTGGGGTTTAGGGTTTAGGGTTTGATCTTCTAAGGTAGCTTCATGGTCTCTTCATGTGGTGCATTACCTTCTTTGAAGGGCTCTGACGTACGCTAAGATACCGAAGAAGGAGTTAGGGTTTAGGGTGTAAAGTTTCGGGGCACTGGGTGCAGTTTTGTTGACTCGTTAGGCTTTTTAAGGGTGAAGTCAGGAATAGGGGTAATGCTGAGCCCCACACGTTTAGCCGCCTGGAACCTTCAGCTCCGGGCCCTCATTGGCGCCCAACGAAGATCGGCATGTGTAGGGGTTGGTTGGGCTTTGTAGGGACTGTAGGCCCATACAACGTTAACCTCTAGTACAACATCAACCCCGCATGTAAAACCCCAAAACACTGAAGCCCTCAACCCTCACGTCCGAACCCTAAACCCTAAACCCTAAACCCTGAACCCTGAACCCTAAACCCTAAACCCTAGCACTCCTCCAAACGCCGCTTTTCCAACGCTGGCTCCGCCCAGGCCTTGGCCGGGTGAACCCCCAACCCTGAACCCCCAAGCCCTGAACCCTAAACCCCTAAATTTCTAGGGTTTCGGGCTTAGGGCTTCAGGGCTTAGAATTTGGGTTTAGGGTTTAGGGTTTCGGGCTTAGGGTTTAGGGGTTCAGGGGCTTAGGGTTTAGGGGTTCAGGGGTTTCGGGGTTCAGGGGTTTAGGGTGCGGCGATATCAGGTTTGGTCTTCTAGGGCGTAGTTGTAGGAACGATTTGGGGTTCATGAACATAGGGGACCCCGAAAATAGACCTCAAATAGTTAGGACTCCCTTATACTAGGGACCCCAATAACCCTAAACCCTAAAATCCGACCCTAAACCCTAAACCTAAACCCTAAACCCCGAACCCTGAACCCTAAACCCTCATCTCGGAAAACCACCATTTGCTGTTTTGGCAGGGGAAGGGTCATGAGCTATGGGTGCCTTTTGGAACTTTCTAGGGCGTTCCGGGGTTTAGGGTTTAGGGTTTAGGGTTTAGGGTTTAGGGTTTCAGCCTTAGGGTTTAGGGCCAGTTTAGGGCGTTGTAGTCTCTTTAGGGCAATTGGAGCTCTGGGTCTTTTGTGGCTTCTTGAGACATTTGTCTTTTTGGAAGCCTTAAACCCCAAAATCTCAGCTCTGTCTTGAGAAAGGTTCTTGGGTACCTATGGGTAGGGGTTGGAAGTACGCTCATAAAAGGTATAGAACCGTAGTTCCCCCGGCATTTGAGACGACTTATCAATTCCCTGAACCCAAACCCTAAACTTCAAACCCTCAACCCGAAACCCTACATATAACTTATAAGTCCCCATGCACCTCCCAAGTAGGGCCCCCCAAATGGGCGCGGGTTAGCCGGGTTTGGGTCTCGACGCGTCGCCATGAAATCTATCCAGAGTGTCAACCTGAAGGTTGTTGGTTTAGGGTTTAGGGTTTAGGGTTTAGGGTTTAGGGTTTAGGGTTTAGGGTTTAGGGTTTAGGGTTTAGGGTTTAGGGTTTAGGGTTTAGGGTTTAAGGTTTAGGGTTTAGGGTTTAGGGTTTAGGGTGGTCACCAGAAGACCCTGGCAACAAACGACCTGGCTCTAAGGCTTCGGTGTTGAGGTCTTCGACACATCTGTGCTCATCATCAGTGAAGCCCCCATAACCAGGATTTCGGCGAGGAATACATTTGTCTCAGCCGCAAAGCAAATCTCAGGGGAATGACCGTTGGCCGATTCGCGCCGACAAATACGATGACAAATGGGGTCTTGTCATGAGCTTTAACCTTGTCGGTTATGGAGTACAGAGAAGCACCAGCCATTCTGTCCACGGCCTAGAAAATCCTGTAACTAACCCAAAAAAGAGCCCTTTTCAAGCCCATAACCCCTAACCCAACCCCTACGCCCCTAAACCCAAAACCCTAAACCCCAAACCCCCCAACCCCCAAACCCCTAAACCCCTAAACCCCTAAACCCCTAAACCCCAAACCCCTGAACCCATAAAACCCCTAACCCCGAAACCCCAAACCCCTAAACCCATAAAACCCCTAAACCCCTAAACCCCAAACCCTAAACCCGAAACCCCTAAAGCCATAAAACCCCTAAACCCCTAAACCCCAAACCCCAAACCCGAAACCCCTAGAACCCTAAACCCCCAAACCCCTACAACCCCTAAACCCTAAAGCCCTAAACCCTAACCCCTAAACCCCATACTGGAAACTCCTATAACTAACCCAAAAAGAACCCCTTTTTCCAACCCATAACCCCTAAACCCTTAGACCTCTAAACCCGGAACCCCTAAACCCTAAACCCCAAACCCTAAACCCCCAAACCCTAAACCCCTAAACCCCCAAACCCATAAAACCCCTAAACCCCCAAACCCATAAACCCATTAACCTCTTAAACCGCTAAACCCCCTAAACCCCCTAAACCCCCTAAACCCCCTAAACCCCCTAAACCCCCTAAACTGCCCTAAACCCCCTAAACCCCCTAAACCCCCTAAACCCCCTAAACCCCCAAAACCCCCAAAACCCCCAAAACCCCCAAAACCCCCAAAACCCCCAAAAAACCCCCAAACCCCTAAACCCCCTAACCCCCTAAACCCCCTAAACCCCCTCTAAACCCCCTACACCCCCTAAACCCCCTAAACCCCCTAAACCCCCTAAACCCCCTAAAACCCCCCCCCTAAACCCCCTAAACCCCCTAAACCCCCTAAACCCCCTAACCCCCACCCCCTAAACCCCTAAACCTTTAAACGCCCTAAACCCCCTAAAACCCCTAAACCCCCTAAACCCCTAAAACCCCCTAAACCCCCTAAACCCCCTAAGCCCCCTAAACCCCCTAAACCCCCTAAACCCCCTAAACCCCCTACGTAACCTCCCCCTAAAACCCCCCTAACCCCCCTAAACCCCCTAAACCCCCTAAACCCCCTAAACCCCCTAAACCCCCTGAACCCCCTGAACCCCCTAAACCCCCTAAACCCCCTAAACCCCCTAAACCCCCTAAACCCCCTAAACCCCCTAAACCCCCTAAACCCCCTAAACCCCCTAAACCCCTAAACCGCTGCCGAGGCACCCAGGGCCGCTTCGCCTGAGGCTCCAAAAGGAGTCTCGCGGCGCTGCGGGGCGCCGGGGCCTGGCGAGAGGGGTCTGGGAATTTGGAGTTTAGGGGGGCTTAGGGTTTAGGGTTTAGGGTTCTTGGGGGTTTAGGGTTCAGGGTTCAGGGTTTAGCGTCTGAAAATTAGGGTTTATTGGGGGCTTAGGGTTTAGGATTTAGGGTTTAGGGTTCAGGGTTCAGGCTTTACGGTTTAGGGGTGCAGGGCTGTTTAAGGGGGTGTAGGGCTTTGGCGGTTTAGGGGGTTTAGGGTCTAGGGGGTGTAGGGGCTTTAGCTGCGTGGAGGTTTAGCGGGTTCAGGGGCTTAGGGGTTTATGCCAGCAGTCATCGGGGTTTGGGGGTTGATATAGGAGCCAAAGGGCTTTGTAGTGCTTACTTACGAAGTTTACATGGTTTGTAGCTTTGATGCGGCTCGTTCTGGCCTAGGGTGTGCGCGGCTTGCCAAGGGGTTGTACTGTTACATTAAATATGGTCTGAGGGTTTCGGGCGTCTTCATGTGCAGCAGCTGACAAGGACCAAAGCCCAAGGTTCAGGCATGTGCTGGTACTGCATACAGCATGTCCAGGCACTGGCCGCCAGCCAGACAAGCTTAAGTCTCAACCACTCTCCACCACTCTCCGGTTTAGGGTTTAGGGTTTAGGGTTTAGGGTTTAGGGTTTAGGGTTTAGGGTTTAGGGTTTAGGGTTTAGGGTTTAGGGTTTAGGGTTTAGGGGATCGTCCGGAGGGTTGCGGACAAAAATCCTGCGCAGGTCCTAGGTGGTGGCTCGCATGAGATGTCCGCAATGAGATCCGCCAATGAGTATGCTCTCAAACTGAAGCGCGTTCCTGTCGGCCAGCAACCAGCCGCTCTTCATTGGAGAGGACACGTAGCCCCCTTCCAAACCACAAGTGAGGCACGCAACAAAATCTAGCAAATCAAACCCGTTGGCGACATGGTGATGGGTATACTTTGAAGAACTACGCTCTAAACCCTAAACCCTAAACCCTAAACCCTAAACCCTAAACCCCAGAAAGCATGCTGTCTTGCACGGCTGGAGGCCAAGTGGCGCGCGAATCGCCTCAGATAATTCTCCGGCAACTGCTTCCAGCCCTGAAGTCATCCCTAGGGGTTTAGGGTTTAGGGTTTAGGGTTTAGGGTTTAGGGTTTAGGGTTTAGGGTTTAGGGTTTAGGGTTTAGGGTTTAGGGTTTACGGCTTCGGGAACTTCAGCTCCGGGCTTTTGAGGGCTTCTTTAGGAGCAACCCCAGAACCCGAAACCTGACCCAGAGGGTCCACTTGTAGTACTGTTATGGAATTAGGTACGCAAAAACCATACTAAATAGGGTTTTTAGGGTTAAAACCCTAATTCCATAATAGTACTACAAGTGGACCCTCTGGGTGAGGAATGCCTCCGGAGCGACAGGCGGGCTCGGTCTTGGGAGGCCTCAGGCTTTTGCTTGCTGCTTGGGACGGCAAGAGTGGGGCAATTTAAGGTTTAGGGTTTAGGGTTTGGGTTTAGGGTTTGGGGTTTAGGGTTTGGGGTTTAGGGTTTGGGGTTTAGGGTTTAGGGTTTCGGGTTTAGGGTTTCGGGTTTAGGGTTTGGGGTTTAGGGTTTCGGGTTTCGGGTTTAGGGTTTAGGGTTTAGGGTTTGGGGTTTAGGGTTTCGGGTTTAGGGTTTAGGGTTTTGGGCTCAGTCGGGGATGGAGATGAAGATGTCAGAGGGCACTGCCTGAAGAAGCTGCGAACCTCAGTGCCCACAATCGACTCCCGAAGCTTCCCTAAACCCTAAACCCTAAACCCTAAACCCTAAACCCTAAACCCTAAACCCTAAACCCTAAACCCCGAACCCTGCAGTGCTACTCATGATTTCGTCACTAGGGTTTATAAGGTTCCCAAGGACTCAAAACACAGAAACCTGAGAACAACGACAAAAACCATCCCGGGAAGTGAAGTCGCAGGGAGGATACAGGGTTTCCTACAAGGGTTTAGGGTTTAGGGTTTAGGATTTCCTACACCTAACCCGAAAAATGCTTTACATGTCCAAGACGAATTGATCAGATGAATTCCCGATGGGCTTCCGACCGTAGCTTTCCGCCAGGTGTTCAGGGCTTATAGGGTTATAGAAGGGTTTATGGCCTTGTAGGGTACTACACTAAACCCACAACAGGGGTAATTGCGGGCTCGGGTTACGGAATTTTGCTTCGGGGCCGGAGTAGCAAGGATAAAGGGTCCGTCTTTCGGGTCTTGAAAGTATTTGGGCTGCCGTAGGCCTTGCCCTCCAAAACGTTAACCACGAACGCTCCAAACCCAAAGTGGTTTAGGGTTTGGGTTTAGGGCCTAAAGTTTAGGGTTTAGGGTTTAGGGTTTAGGGTTTAGGGTTTAGGGTTTGATAATCCCAGGTGGTGGGGCTTAGGGGTTCCAAAGGGCTTGCTGAAGCGTCCTCCTGGGGCGCCTGTAGAGTCCGTGGACTCTTGTGAACGTAGGGTGTGATGTGCCTTAGGGATGCTTTAGGGTTTACCTGGGACTCTCTTTCTTCACCTACAGTTTAGTGGTTTTACCTGCTGATTTAATTGAGGGGTAGTTACTCATAAACTGTACCCTGAACCCTAAACCCTAAACCCTAAATGGGTCCCACGTAGGGTTCTGCGGTGTGTTGTTCTGGGTGCGGACTCTCAGCTTGCCTCGGAATATCTTGGGTTTAGGGTATAAACCCTGCAAATCCTAAAGAATCTATTGAGACCAAATGAGAAGCCACTATATAACCACAATATGCGCTATAAACCCCAAACGCCATAAACCCTAAAGACACTGAACCCCACAGTTAAACCCTAAACCCTCAGAAACCCTACCCCATCTAAGCCCTAAAAAAAAAAACCTCCCCCCCCCCCTTTCCCCCCAAAAAAGAAGAAGAGACGTAGCCGAAGACAGGGCCTTCATAAACAAAGTAGGGGGTTGGGGGTCATTTTCGTCTAACTATGCAGGGGCCACAAGGAATTATTATCAGTAAGCATTCCGACCCTTAAACCCTAAACCCTAAACCCTAAACCCTACACTCTAGACCCTAAACCCTAAACCCTAAACCCTAAACCCTAAACCCTAAACCCTGAACCTAACCCGGGTGCCTCCGTAGAGTCGATCGCCCGCTAGCGCCAGCCAGCGCCTCTAAGGTCTAAGACTTTGGAGGATTAGGGCTTTGGGGTTTAGGGCTAGGGTTTAGGGTTTAGGGTTTAGGGTTTAGGGCTAGGGTTTAGGGTTTAGGGCTAGGGTTGAGGGTTTCAAGCCTTTGGGGCTTAGGGTTTAGGGTTTAGGCTTTAGGGCTTCGAGTATTGGATTTCGGGCTTAGGGTTCGAGTTTGGGGTCAAAGGTTCGGGGTTTGGGAATGGGGGGGGGGGGGCGGCCTTAGACCCTCTTAGGGTCGGTTCATGGTCGCTTGATATGGGCCCTTAAGGGGGACCCCCTCTTACCCCGTCTAAGCCCTCTAAACCCCAGAGCCCGATACTTCCATACTTCAGAACCCTTTAGAAGGAGATCAGGGGCCCACGCTGAGGGACCATGCACCTCCCTTAGAAACCCCGAAGCCCCGAAACGCTTATGTAAGACCCTATCCCTGAATCCAGTAGAACCCCGTGGGCCTTAAACCCGTAGATAGACGTCTGAGGGTCCCTATAAGCCCCGAGACCCTTCAAGCATACAAAACCCCTGAATCCCTAAAACTTCAGGCCTGAAACCGTAGTCCCTGAACCCCTACAACCCTACAACAGCAAAACCCCTAAACCCTAAACCCTAAACCCTCTAAAGCCCCAAAACTCCGAAACCCTTCAACCCATGGCCCTCCACTCATCAGAAACACCCCGCTGCGGCCTGAAACGCCCCGCTGGTGGGCGCCCATTCTCGTCTGCGTCCTTCCCAGGTAAAGGGTTTAGGGTTTAGGGTTTAGGGTTTAACTAGGGTTTAGGGATGTAGGGTACTGAGGTTTAAGTTTAGAGTTTGGGGTTGTGGGGGGTTGTGGGTTTGGGGGTTTGAGGTGTTCAAGTGTTCCTCGCAGCCAGAAACATGTGGGGCATTGTCTCCTTCATCAAAGCTCAGGCCAACTAGACTCTGCAAATCCACATTCACTCCCCGCCTTGAAATGGCCCCAATCCCTAAACCCTAAACCGTGAAAGCTGAAGTCGCTACTGTAATCATGAAGTGGCTACTACAGGGCCCTTAAGAATCCGAATAGGGCTTTAGGGGTTATTGTAGTATAAGCACAAAGGGACGGGGAAATATTATTACCCTAAACCCTTGACCCTAAACCCTAAACCCCAAACCTTTCATCACACGCGCTTCTCCTCATCCGACATGTCGCTGCTCGCCTGTTGGATGAGGATCGGCTCCTTCATCAGTCGTGGCTTAAGGGGGCAAGCAGGGATTGGGGTTTGGGGTTTGGGGTTTGGGGTTTGGGGTTTGGGGTTTGGGGTTTAGGGTTTAGGGTTTAGGGTGTTTCGCCCTCAACCCGGAACCCCAAAACCTGAGCAAGAAAACACAAGCAATCCAAACACAAAGCCGAAACCCTAACCCCTAAAATCCCCCCAAAGCCAAAAAAAACTCAAAAACTAAAACCCCAAACCCGAAAAACCCGAAAAACCCGAAAAACCCGAAAAACCCCAAAAACCCGAAAAACCCTAAAAACCCTAAAAACCCACAAAAAACCATAAAAACCCCAAAAACACCCTAAAAACCCTAAAAACACCTAAAGCTTGCACATCCAATCAAGCTGCTGAGCTGAAGTTGCGGAGCAAGATCGGGGCTGTGGCTTCGCCTTTGGAAAGGGCCAAACAAAAACCCTAAAAGCCTTAAAAGCCCGAAAAACCCTAAAAGCCCTAAAACCCCTAAAAGCCCTAAAAACCCTAAAAACCTAAAAGCCCTAAAAGCCCTAAAAACCCTAAAAACCTAAAAAACCCTAAACTCCTAAAGCTTTTTTGTGGTCACGGTTTTCGGGCTTTGGCAGGGTTTTTTTTTGTTTTTTCTGGGGTCTACGGTTTTCGGCAGTCGGGGTTTAGAGCCTTTTATGGGATTTTGGGGTTTTAGGGTCTTAAGGCCTGAAGGAATTTGGGCATTTTTGGGATTTGCAGCTCGGGGCCTCGAAGGATTCTGATTGGGCTTTCCGGGGGGTAAAGGTTTGAGAGCTTAGGGGTCCTTCAGGCTTTTCTCAGTCGGGCCGTTCTGGCGCTGTAGAGGATGCTGTAAGCGGCTTCACGGCTTTTAGGGGGGTTTTCGGGTTTAGGGGTTTTGGGGATTGGGGGGGGGGGGGGGGGGGGGGGGGGGGGGGGGGGGAGGGGGGGTTTCGACATGGGGGTTTGGGCTATAGGGGCTGACGCAAAGGGGTGTAGGGGCTTGAATGTCGTTTCTTTGGGGTTCAAGACCCTTTGTCTTATTGCAATAGATATGTATATGCGTAAATAAATATATCAAATTTCTGTGTATATATAACTGAAATACACAAACGAATATGGTTTTCTATAACTGTACGAGAAATACATAAATAAATAAAACACACATATATATATATATGTATGTTCCAAGACCCACTCGCTCTTTCTTTTCTTCTTCTTTCCGGCGCAGTCTGCAGTTTGGAGTCTGGAGTCTCCAACTAGGTGTCCCTCTCCAAAGCCTCTGCGACTTCTATGTACCGGACTTCCCTGGTGCACGGCGCTGTCCATTCCAGGCTTTTGTCCCAGAGCATGGCCGCCAAGAAAGACCAGGTCGTAGGAGCCCTGTGACGTCCAGCCTGGAGTTCTCTGCGACAAGGAAGTCCACGATACCAGCCCGCGGATGTCGAAGCCTCCTCGTTGTCGCATAGTAGCAGGGAAACAACAAACAACAAGCGTCGAGCTCGCGCGCTTGCTGCTGGGCGGCGGCGACCCCACCCACATACACCTGCTCGTACACCAGGGTTGGAGGCTCCAACCCTTTCCCCTGGCAGGATGGGTGCGGGAGCGCTGACCAACCCAAGCCTCCAGACTGCGCTCCGGGCGGAAGCAAGGACGTTGCTGAGGACCTCCTTGGAGTGCGTCTGCAGCTTGCTCTGCGACCAGCAAGGGCATGTGAGGACCAGGTGGAAGAGCAGGGGCAGCCTTGCTCGAGGAAGCTGGAGAGGGTACATCTGGCGAAAGGCCTCTGAAGCTGGAAGACGGCTCCCATCCCGGCGGAGGCACCGCCCGAGCCGCAGCCAGCGACTTATAGGCCGCAAGACCGGCCGAGCCTTCGGAGGCGGAGACCCCGCCGACAAGCAGCTTTGACAAGCGGGACCTGCACTTGTTCGGCTTGTCTTCGCCGACGAAGTCGGGCAACCAAATTGCGACCCCACTTCATGACTCCTTTCACCCGCGAAGCGTGGAACTCGTCCACAATCCGTGTTCTGCCAAATCACACAGTTCTCTGTGAGGCCACCTTTCCACTATACTGGCGCCAAGAGTCTGCCCACACGTCCTTCATCTCCGCTGGGTCCAACGCACCACGGCTTGGCACCTGCTTGGCAGACCAAGTCACGGAGGGCCAATTTCATGATGGACGTCTGGCGGAGCTTGCTCGCATCATAGATGTGGGGGTTGGCAAGGGGTTGGATTACCCTCCTTCCGATTGGCCCAATTGCCGAGGGCCAGAAGCCCGCCAAGCCAGCGAAAGTTGGCCCCAGCCTCCGGGACGAGTAGGAGGACAGTTTGGAGGGGTCATCGAGCACTCCCCGTAGGGCATGCCTAGCCCTTTCCACAAAGGCACCAATATTCCAGTCGGAGCCACCGACTGAGCAGATGCCAGGGTACCGGCGACTCCGGCACAGCTGACCCAAGTCCGCGCTCATGACGGAGTAGTCGGGAACGGTCCAGTAGAAGCTGTCTGCGCTGTTTGCCCTTGCTGCAAAAGAAGGTGAGACTGTAGCCATCCACTCGGACCAAAATGGAGCGGCGGAGATGGGCATAGCGGACCACTCCCAGGGCCACACACCAGATGGCAAAGCAGACAGTCCACAAAACAGAGTCGGGGTCGTTGTCCAGGTGGGAAGAAGCCTCAAGCAGGAATCCAGGCTGGATAACCTGAGCTTGTCACTGGCCAACCCCGTAGGCTCCAGCACCAGCAGACCGCGCTGGCTTGCGCCGCTGCTTTTGCCGACTTGCCACAACCCGACAAAGAGTCAAGTCGAGGTTTAAGAAGAGGTGCTTGTTTAACCAAAGCATAGAAGTCATGGCCCGCGCCGGGGATTTATGCCCCACCAACCACCTAGCAAGGTCATGAGGTCCAACAGTAGTCATCGACATAGCTGATCTTGAACACCAATCGTTCAACTCTAGTCTTTGAAGGTGTCCAAGCCCTTCTTCATGGTGGCATATTCACTTTGCTGGCAGATGTCATCCGCCATTCTTTGCAAGTTGGCCCTTTCCAAGGGCGTTGCAGCAGGCCCGACCGGCCTATATTTCCCAACAGCCATCAGCATGTGGTAGACCTGGAAAGTGAGTGAAGACGCCTCTGCGCTATGCTTAACCTCAGCTGACCGAACAGGCCCAGCCCGACCGGCTGTTTTGGCTCGCTTCGCAAGTGGTGCTGGCATAGGATCAGGGGCACGGGTGCGGTCGCAGTCACCACCCTCCCGGCTTGCGATGTCCATGATCAATCCGGCAAGACCACTCTCGCCTTCTCTCCGTGCTTGGCGGAACGCATCTGCGACCGCTCGGCCGGCCTCGGCCAAGGCTTCTTCGTAACTCAAAAAGAAAAAGGCCAAGTCGTCCCTGTTGGCGATACCCTGGTCCAGGCACCAGCGCTGCACAGCATCTGCAGCCTCTATCGCCATGGCGAAGCGTAGCCCCTAAAGAAAGAGTTCGACGCAGGAGACACCTGCACAGGAAGAAGGTAGGGGGGACACCCCAAAAGGAAGTTCGACGCAGGAGACACCTGCGGAGAAAGAAAGTTCGGGCTGCCGACGCAGGAGACACCTGCGGAGGTGCCTCCTCCAGTTTGGCTCGGGCCAAGTCAGCAGCAGCGGATGGGTTCCTGAAACATGACGCTTCACCACACCTGCCCTATGCACAAAAGCGTGGATATATGCATATAGTGTACACTAGAAGCTCATAGCGCTGGTGCCTTCTCGTAGGGCTAAGGGCTGCAAGGCTTGAGAGCGCGGGCCCTTTTAGGGTGTAGGGTTCCTTCCAAGGGATTTTAAGGCTTAGGTTCCCTTTAGGGCGTAAGTTTCTTTCCAAGAGCTCTGCGCAGGGTTTAGGGTTTGGGGTTTGGGGTTTAGGGTTTAGGGTTTAGGGTTCAAGGTTTAGGGTTTAGAGTTTTTCTTTTTCCCTGAACCCCTCGACCCTTGGGTTCGGGCGTTGTTGAGCCCGAGCGGGGCGAGCTTGGCCAGAGATGTGCTCTTCAGTTATGAATAGGAACCCCCGCACACCCCCCCCCCCCCTCCCAGGGTTTAGGGTTTAGGGTTTAGGGTTTAGGGTTTAGGGCTTGGGGTTTAGGGTTTCCCCCACCCCCTTCCGCCCCCCGGTCCAGGTTCGGGCCTGGATGCAAAGCCCTGAACGAAAATCATCAACACCGACGTCAAGGAAGGACTTGCATGAAATGGCTTTACAAGCCTCAACTACCCCGAAATGGTCTAGACCCAAGAGTAGCCTAGGAATAAAAATAGTGCCCTTTTTGGTTTACAGGAGCTCATCAGGGACCCTATACCCTAAAAACAGGGAATAATTGCCTACTCCCTGTGCTAACGGTTGTTCACAACCCCAACAAAGAACCATAAGAAAGAGAACTGCTCGTGTTTCTTGCATCTTGCATCTTGCATCACTCTCAAGCCCGCTCCCCTAACTGCGAAGTTGAGGAGAGGGGGCAGGGGTGGGTTGCGCGATACCTCTAACTTGTGAGCAGGTCGTTGCAACGCACCAGTTTTTTTGGCGCACATACGCCTCAATGCTTCCAGCCAAGGCACGTCCTACATATCGGATCCTAGCCGCATCTATGGCATCCTCTGTGGCTGAATGAAAAAGCATTTGCATCAGGAGGTTAGCCTCTACACCTCTGCTGGTGTGAAGCGCAAGCCCCGATGCCACAAACAAGTCTGCTGTCCCCGGGCATTCACACAGAGCATGCCGAATCCAGACACTGCATCTGTCACAGAAAGGGCACTTGTCAAGTTCTGCTTCTGGCGGCAGCTCTGACAGTAAACTCAATGGCCACATACCAGTCAGCCTCGCAAATGCCCACAGCCTCGCTAATTTCCATTCAGAGCTTTTCAAGATGGGCAGCAAGTGAGACCAGTCACACTGTCTTCTCACGCAGCCCAAGTCTGCGAAGGCCAGACCCATCCCTACTAGATGCTTAGAAGCAGCTTTCTGAAACTCTGCCTCATCTCTGGCACACAGGATTGGCAGAAGGATTCGCGTCTTGTAAAGTAAGAGCAAATTTTTTCGAACAGCACTGTCCTGTTTTGCTCTCACTAGCATTTCCTGCGTGCAAAGGTTTGCGGCAAGGATATCCGGGAATGTTCCTGCAGCGCTATCTTCCCTCAGCTGATGCCTGAGCGACTCAACTGCATGCCACCAGGTGTCTGATGGCAAAGATTTGGCCACCGCCAGCATCAATGCAGCTGGGTGGTCCACAGGCAAGAGCTGGATTATTGCTAGGCACAAAAACATACGCAGCAAGGCTTTAGAGGACAAACGCAACTGCCAACCCAAAAGAGCAACAGCCAAAGAACCCCGAAGAACAGACCCAGCACGACCAGCAAGAACTCCCTTGGCCCATTCACCTTGTAAAAGGTCCAGTTTAGGCAAC